TTTCTTTTAATGTTGTATGCCGCCCTGAGTCCTTGGAAGAAGGGCGGCATATAAATCTAATAAACCTAACCTAACCATGTGACTCGTGGCGCACCACAAGCTGCAGTGGCATATGACATCCTGCCATAAGCAGAAGCACCAGCATGACGAGCCAAGCAGCTTCCTGCTGTGAGCAGGAGTACTGGTGCAAAGTGCCACACAGTGTCCACCGACATGATGAGCCATGTGTCCTCCTGCTGCAAGCAGCAGCACTGACACGAGTCACATGGCATCCGATCATAAGTGGCTGTAAGCAGCCGCAGAAGAAATTAGGTAGCAGCACGACAGGTATTGGGGCGTGGGAGCCCTGGCTGCGGCGGTCCTAAAGTAAATAGGTGTGGGTTGTGTGGGGCCACTCCACGCCCACTCCCACCCTAGCTTGATTTTTACGCATGCACCTTGCCCCACCTTGTACAACCAAACTGGGAGGGAGTAGACGGGGTCTTAACTAGAGCTTCTTTTGGGGGTAGGGCTTATATTAGGCACACACATAAAAATGAAGCTACAGCTTATTTTCTGAATAGGTCTTATTTTCAGGAAATCACGGTATTTGATCTAGCCAGGCTTCCCTTTTTGAATCTGGAAGTGAGTACATGGTGAAGGGAAAAAAACCTAGCTTATGCCAAGATGTGAGAGCTCAATGGTCATTTCCAGTCCGTATCTTTTCAAATGATATATCTTAATGCCTGCTTTTTTGTACAAACGTGAAAGATCTGAAAAGATCCAAAATTCTAATCTTAACGGACTATGTGATTCCAAGCATTTTTAAGATTATTGTAGTTTGATGGTATCACAGGTGCTTGATGTGATTGAACAGAAGATGCAGCAAGTTAATATTTTTTATTGGTTATGCATTATCCACCAGTCTACGTTTAGTGCAAACATTCAAAAAAAAAATTCTTTTTTTATTTTTATTCCTTGCATTTTACAAGTAGCTTTCTCCAGTCTTGGACACCATTGTTCTTCGAATACCATGCCCATTTTTGACCATTGGTCACAGTGGTTCAATATGATAGAAGTTGAAATGCAATAATGTGAAGAGCATACCGTATTTTCACGACTATAAGCCGCACTGAAAATCCTAAAATTTGATCAAAAAACGGCAGTGCAGCTTATAACCCGGTGCGCTTTATATATGGAAAAAGATCGAAAATCTCTCCCTCCCGATTTTATGCTCAAACTTGAAACTCGCAAGCGAATGACCGCGAGCAGGCACGCACACGTCCTTTGGGTTTCTCCCTCCCTCCTTAGCCGGGAGGCACCAAACTGCGCCGAGCCATCCTCACTTCGTCCTGGTTAAGGGTGGGAGTGTCTGAGACGCCGCTGGGAGAATGTCCACTTCGGGTTGCCGGGACAGCAAATTTCAAGGAAAAATGCAGCTGCTGGAATCGGTGTACCACCGAAAGTTCTCTGGTCTGGCTGCACCCGAGCTGGTGAAGCGCCCTTGCGATCGGAGCAATCGCGCGGCTCACCTGCACTGGCTGTCTCCCTGGCGATAGGCGGGCGGTTGCGAGCACTCCATCAGCTTGGGTGCAGCCTGACTGGAGCCCTTTCTCTTCTCAGAAATGTCTTCTCAGTGGAGCTATAGCAGCCTGCATGCCCCTTTCAGGTACTTTGACCCCCCCCCCAGGAGGGAGGGGGCCAGCCAGAGGGGCATAAAGGGAGCCGCAGCTTCTCTGTGAATGGAGGGGAAAGAGTTCGGCTTCTCTCTGCCATTTAAAGGCTGCAGCAGGGAGAATCCCAACTTTTTTCCTCTCCCTCCATTCAGAACGAAACTGCTCCAGCCTCCCCCACCCCCACGTTGCCCAGTAACCCTAACCTTCGCGCTCTTCTCCGCATTCTCCTCGGGATTGCAATAGATGTCGAGAAGCGGCTTTTGGGGCTAATGGGGATTGGATTTCCAGCTCGATAGCCCCTGCCGCTTCTGGACGTCTATTGCAGTTGTGAGGAGCCGAGGAGAGTGTGGAGAAGAGCGCGAAGGTTCTTGGCACTCTGGGAAGCGGGAGAGGCGCGCGGTTTGGTTTATCCTCCCTGGATGTCGCAGTAGCAGCCCCAAACTCACCGATCTCAGTGTTTTTCGCATCGGGGTTTTTCGCATGCTGCAAGAGGGAATGAGTGAAGAGTGAAGACCTTTTCCAGCCAGCGCAAAGGACTCCCCCGGACTTTTTTTGCTGAGCACAGGGCGACGGGCCCGCACCTCCACCACCAGCAATCCGGAAAGGTCTTCACTCACTCTCTCTTGCAGCATGCCCCGATGCGAAAAACACAGAGATCGGTGTGCTTGGGGCTGCTGCTGCGACGTCCAGGGAGGATAAACCAAGCCGTGCGCCTCTCCCAGCTGCTTTCGCGGCTTCCTGGAGCGCCAAGAACCTTCGCGCTCTTCTCCGCTCCTCGCGACTGCAACAGATGTCCAGAAGTGTCGGGAAATGTGCGGCTTATAACCCGGTGCGCTTTATATATGGAAAAAGTTTGAAAAATTAACGTTAACTGATACTGCGGCTTATAATCCGGTGCGGCTTTTGGTCGTGAAAATACGGTAGTCTAAGCCCATAATGCACAGATAACTGTACCCTATTAATGTAATCCATTTGAACTACATTTGATTAGTTTGATACCATTTAGTGCTAAAAATAAAAATAATTTCATGGAATAAGAACAAATTGCTTTGATAATAAGACATTTCCATAAAATTATATAATCTGTTGTGATTGCAAACTTTGATATTTTTTTAGAGCCAAGTCAGAAAGTGAGGGCTGTGTATGTCCATATTTATTCCTGAACAAAATTAGCTTGCCCCAAAATAATTTTAATACATTACATGCACTTGAGTTCTCTAGCAAAGTTGGGTTTTTTTATCCTTAAGTAAAGGTTGTCCAACTGCTTACCACTGAAATTATTTGTTAGTAACAAAAGGAAAAGTAACATTGTTCAATACCAGGACATGTTTCTAAAAACAATCTAATCTTTAATTTCCATGTATATTCTCCAGAATTGTCATGAACTTGAAAAAATGGACTTGGAGGAATGTGTTCAGGTAATTGTACTATTTTCAACCTATTTTCTAGATTATTTAGTTAAAAGTAACATAATGACAAATAAATTAAAATTAATTCAAGAATCTGCTTGGTTTTGCTTTTAAACATCATAGCAAGCACTGAAGGAAAAAATATTTTTGGGTGATATTTGACTGAGACCACTCTGTAATGATGAACATAGGGTATTACTAATATATAATTGGTTATTTTCATAGGCCTTTATTATACCTAAGAAAACATATTCATGGTTATAATGCCACAAGGTTGAAATAAGTTTCTGAATCACATTTATTGACTTTATAAGGAAATTCAGAATTGGAACAAGTACAAGTGTAGCATATCCATCTTTTGGCTTGTCTGAGCTGCATTGAGTGAAGAGAAATTGTCTTGGGACGCATATAAAATATATAATATAGTTAATGTATAAAAATGCACATAACGTTAGAAGTTTACAGTCCTCCAGGACTGCGTTATTAGCTGTCCAGGGCCACATACAGCCCTAGGGCTGCTGGTTGGATACGCTTGCTCTAGTGAGAAGCACCTGATCCACTTTCTCTTTTTGACCCAGTAAACATCTTTCAAAGTGTGCAGTACATTAGCCAGAAAGCTTCTTCACTTTGTTTCATTGGCTGCTTTAAGCAACAAAAGAAGAATGTCTACGTAGTTTTCTGACATCACTTCTCTTCTTAATTACACATTACCAGAGAGTTGAAAATATATCACAGAGATTAATCTATTTAGTTGCATTCAATTATATTATGAAGATTCATGCACATAATAAATAGGAAAAGCATTCGATTACACGATGGGAAAGAAATACGATCCTTAGTATCAGCCTGGGAATAAGAAGAACAAAATGGAGGAAAAGATTTTTAAAGATTTGATTTTAATTCTGCATGGTCTGGTGCTTCTTTTTTATTTTTAATCAGATCCCTCTGTAATTGTCAGCAATAATTTGTGATTAAGTGAGTTTATAGGTCTTCAGATTAATGTTGTTCTTAGTTATTAATTGTAAAGAGACCAAATTTTAAATCCTATTGAATGTAATCTGAATTAGAAAGACAGATTTTACATAATTTATGGATACCTTAGCATTAATACTGTCTTAGAAATACAGTACTTTCTATGTTAAGAAATTCACATTTTGGCTTTTGGCCCCACCCAAAATTCTCATTGTGGAAATGACCAGAGAAGAATCAGTACCTCTTCTAGCAACTTTCCTCTTCAAGCTTTATGTTGTTCCTGAAAGAACGCTAACACAAAATAAGTGAAATGATGCATATGAAACTTCTTGCCAATCCAATATACTGTTTTAGTTTCAAATATGTCTGATTTCTTCCAGATAACAGACAGCACATTAATCCAGCTTTCCATTCACTGTCCTCTGCTCCAAGTTTTGGTGAGTTAATTTTTTTTGCAGGCTAAAATTTTACCCAACCCATTTTTTCATCTGCACTATAGAATTTTAGAATATGAGTCAGAAGGGCCAAGAGAATATTTTATTATATATCTTAGTTGAAGTGCACCTTTAAGAGTTTGAGATATATAGCTGAACATACAACCAGATAAAATTTGATATTCCCTAAATTCTCTGAACAGAACTGCAGCCCTGTTAAATGTCAACGTAAGAAGCTTTTATATATTATAAAAGGGCCAATATGCCATGGCTTGGGGGGGGGGGGGGAAACTAGGCACTGCAGAAATCTGAAGAGGAGAAAAGGGAAGACAACATGCACCCTACAAAACATCCTTCTGGAGATTAGTAAAGTGTTATAGATCTAGCCATTCCCCCAGGTGTCTGAGTCTCGTGCTGCTAGTTAATGTAGATATGATATATTTATGAATTATATTGTGTATGAAATCAAGCATTTGGTTTTATTAAACTGTTGTAGTGATGGTTTTAATTTTTGTAAACCTTCCACAATCACTTTGGAGATTATTAAGATCGCTAACCAATGATTCAAATAAAACAAATTGCAGAGGAATTTGCATGCTGTCCAAAATATATATGGAATTGGGGGGTTTATTGAAGAAAAGAGGATCCACAGAGTCTGTATATTTTCATCTGAAGGGTTTAAAATATTGTGCAAGATTTCAACAGAACAGATTGTAGAGGATAATTGAGGAATGGGCCTGATAAATTGAAAAAAATCTGCATAGCCAAGCCTTTGATTGTCATCTGTTGCTTTATTTTCCCTTTTATTGGCAGAGTTTATCACACTGTGAACTGATCACCGATGATGGTATTCGCCATTTAGGCAATGGTGCCTGTGCCCATGATCGCTTGGAGGTGATTGAGCTGGATAACTGCCCCTTGATCACAGATGCCTCTTTGGAACACCTCAAGAGCTGCCACAGCTTGGAAAGGATAGAACTGTATGACTGCCAACAGATTACCCGAGCTGGAATTAAGAGACTCAGGGTAAGAATACATTTACATTGTTTAATAGATTGATGTTCAGATAGTTCTAGCTCCTGTACTCGTTTAATTCTTTTCTCATCCTAACAATAGCTGCAATTACTTAAAACATATTCTTCAAACTGAAAGTAAGGGAATATATGGCATAATATCAGCATATTAGTATTCGATTTGAACTGGGAAGTTATGGATTCAAGCCTCCATTCAACCACAGAATGCACTGGAAAATGTGGGTCAGTTATTCTCAGTCCAGCCTTTCTTGCAGGGTTGTCATTATGGGATAAAATTAGAGCAGACTTCCATGTAAACTGCTGAGATAAAGACTGGACAGAAATATGACAAATAAACAGTAAATCAAAATTGAAGACTTGTTGCCTACATAAATTAAGATTTAATCCCATTAAGAATGAGATGGAAAATAGTTTCCAACTTTACAAAGTATTCATAGGACACAGCGAGTAATGGTAATTTTCTATAAAAATATCCTTCAGATAGATAGCCAAAATTGAATTTATCCCATTCATCCCTCCCTCCTTCTGAGATACTTTGATCTGTTTGTGGGCCTGTCCTTCTTTCTTGAGAGAATGTTGATATTCATGCACACTAGTAAGATCATTCTCAGTGCAGAAAAGCACTTGAACAGTTATTTAAAAGAGCTCAAAATAAGATAATAATTTACACAATTCAAGCATATTAAGAACAATTGCCTGACCCAAATGTTACTTCTTGATCTGATGATGAAATAGCACTTCAGTCATGTATGTTTATGTCCCTGCACTTCGATTTCTTTTTCATTTGTGAAGCAGTGTCTTTTACAAATCTATAGAAAGTGAGATTAAGGGAAGTTCTCTTTACCGAAGCAACCAGATAATAAAGAAAATAGTGAAGTAAAAAAAAAATTACATATGTACAAAACTAAAGTGGGGAGGATTGGGAAAAATATCTATTAGTTTTCCTTAAAATATATTTTATGCAGAATATTTTTTTCCATGTAAAAAGGGTCCAATATTACTTCATGCTCAACTTTTTAAGTTTCCAATATTTGTTCATGTTTTCGGTATTTTTAAATTTTTCTAAATTGGAAAAATTGTGTTTGTCTTTTCAGACCCACTTACCCAATATTAAAGTCCACGCCTACTTTGCACCTGTAACTCCACCACCATCTGTGGGGGGCAGCAGACAGCGTTTCTGCAGATGTTGCATCATCCTATGACGTGAGAGCCAGTCTACCTTGTGAAAAACAAACTGAGTATTTAAATTACCCTTCTAGAAGTTACAGTGGACAAATATCTCTGCCAACAAAATGATGCCAGTGCTCCTTCACCAGGGCCTTTGGAAAACAAAGCAGGGGAAGCTGGTGCAAAACATTGTTCCCCTTTTTTACCCTATGTAAAAATACACACACACACACACACACAAACACACAAACTAGTATATACATACTTATTCCAATAGACTGAAGGTCTCTGAAACTGAGGACCTAAATCTATGGGAACTTTTTCCTCTTCCCACCCCATCGTCCCGTGGGTGGGTTGCTATAATTGTAAACCATTCCTACAGAGCCTGCTCAGAAGAAATCATGGGGTGGCGGGTGGGAGAAAAGAGTTGTTGGTTGAATCACTTCGCACATCAGAAAAACTGCTGTTGCTTCCAAGAGAGGGAAAAGTTGTTCTTTTGACACTGAAAGCAGCAAAAAAAATGATGTTGGGATTGAAGGAGAGGTTTATAACTGAGGAGGAACAAACATGAGCACTGAACCTTGAAGATACTGTTCAGGTGGGAGGAAAATGTACAAAGCAAAAAGAAAACACAATGCCCTTGGGTATATTTTTTATTTAAAAAGAAAATCATATGTGTGTTAAGGAATGTTAAAACAGCAGCCATTGTGAGATGTAGATTCCTGCGCTTCTGTACTACCTTGTTTTCTGTGCTGGCACATACACTGAGCATGCTCATCTTGGAGGTTCAGCAGTTTCTCTTCTTTTATAATATTTGGCTCAGAGGCTTCCTAGATTGTTGTGATGATAAAGCTAGAAATCTGTAATGTCAGGCCTGATCTTTTTCCCCCCAATCTCCTCAGTATCTTCTTTTTTATATATATAAACTAGATGTCTAATTCTGAAACTGTATGAAATGACTGAACATATAATACACATGCCAAGTTAATATTTCTTTTCAAAAGGCAACTTTATATCACTAGAGGATAAAGCTTTGAAAACACAGCTGTGAAATGAGTTGAAGTTATAAAAGCAAAACTCTTTTGTAAAGATTATTCTACATTTTTTTTTTAAACAAGTGATGCTATTGGGAGAAGAGAGAAGTTCTGTCTATTATAATGTATTAATTACTTCCAAAGAAATGGGTGCCTCATAAATGAGAAATGGTATACAAACATAATTATTCTAATTTCAGTGACAAATGACCTTTTCCATTATTAGATGAACTTGGAAAATTCCTTTTCAGGTACCTGGACACTTATGAAAACTACACCAGATGTTTGCATTTTATTTAGAAGTAAGTAGAATTCATGATGGGAAAATTCAGGTCCATCCAGTTCAATACTGCAGGATTATATCTACTGAACTTGGTTTGATTTGCTCAAAGCTGCTGTTTAAAAAAACACTGGAATCATTTTAGGTGCTTTTTCGGAAGCCATTTTTGGTATCAGACATAGTTTAAAAGGGCTGTGGGGATTATACAGCAACATTCCAACGTTCTCTTCACAAATAGTGCAAATTGAGCCCCAAAACACAAGCCAAAGGTCACCAATCACTTTCCCCGATATCCAGTATCCTGCTTTAATGAATACTTCTTGTTAGTGAATATTTATCATTTGCTTTTGCCATTCATGCTACTGGATGTATTGGTTTTTTCCCTTCTGTGCCAGTATTTGACACAGTATGGCTTACATTAAGGGTTTTTTTTTCCTCTCGCATGAGAGTTAGCTGCAAAATGTAATCTAGAATTTAGACCTTTCCCAATGAGGCTCTTTGGTTGTTTGGATTGCAAACTTCCATTATAATGACACTCATCTCAGCCTTCAGATTTCAAAATTGTTCTTTCAAACAATCGTTGATACAGGAAATTTAAAGTTACCATAAAAATGGCAATATTTCAGAATGTTCAGTTGAAAACAAGATCAGGGAGGCAGAAAGACAAGCAAGGCAGGAGACATTAAGTATTCCCTACATCATGAAAGTTACAGATTTTAAAGGGATCTTCACCCACTTCTGCAACCAAAAGTGCAGTACAGATTGCAGAGTCCTATCCAGACAACTTTCCACAGTTTACATTAACTTATTTTTCTCTTGCCAAGCTTATAGATGTTAAAATAAACGTTCTTAATTATACCTTAACTATACTAGGAAGACTAAGATGGGGTAGAATTCCACTGTTTTATTCAATTGTTTTGTGACATGTTCTTTCATTTTTCTTAATCAGCAGCACATTTATTTTGAGATCAGAAAATATGTTTTCCCTTTGCTCCATATGAAATATTTAAATTTGTGTTGTGATCTCAATATTCACAATTTCTTTTGCACAGATACTTGCTTTCTTACACAAACATTTACAATGAATGTTCTCAACTCACCAATATATAGTTTTTAAAGGGCTTTAAAACAATTTAGACTGTTCCAAAATACTTTTAAAAATACATTTTTTTAAATGTAATTTCCCTCTTCCATACAATCTCTTCTAATTTGTAAGTTATGAAACAATCACCTGGCTCAAGTAGAGAAATATTATAAGCAATTATCAACTCCAATGTATATTATTGATCCACTATTACAGTGTAAATTCCCTCTTTTTTAATCCCAAACTCCATGGCGGTGATTATTATCAGAACAAATTAGAAACTTGTATGTGTTATCACCTTGTCAATGGTTAGCAAAGCTTTGAGGATAACCCCAGAGTGTTTTGAATTTTTTGTCTATGAATGAACATGTGGAGATAAATGTCAGGTGTTGTTCATGTGCAAAGCCCCCTTGAGATGAATGAAAACATTTGCTGCATTACATATTGTGTGTTTTCAGTTTAAATTGCTATCTTAAATGTTCCATTCTATCTAACAGTAATATAGAGCTACTTGTTCAGGGTAAGATAGAAATAGCTCTATTTGTGGCAAATCTGGGATTGAAGGAAAGACTTTGGGCAAATTGATAGGTTAATTTCTAGGTTTTTTTCCTGTGGATTTTTAAGATCCAGCATTATAACATGCATTTACTTGCATTCATGACAATAAAGATTTGCCGTGATTGCCAATAATGGACTGCATTTTCTGGAGTTAAAACCCAGAAGATAAGGATATTATATACCTGGATGTGGGTTCAAAGAGCAAATGAATCTTAGTACTGATTATTAATGTTAGAAAAAAACTTGCCTTTGACAAATGTCAGGTTTTATCTGAGTGTATTATGTGATGAAAATTTCCCATTTTTAAAAACTCTATGGGTTGTCCAAATTCAGTTTGTGTTTGCTAGCTATGACAATGTAGGTTATATAGGAGCTGGGTTAGATGAAGATACATGACTAAATTGCTGAACAAAAAAAAGATAAGAGTGAAGCTAGAGACTTTAACAGTTTTATGATTCTAAATTGATGTGTTAAAATATTTTTTTATGAAGTGGAGTCAAGGAATTCTATAGTACAATATCTCCCTTTCTCAAGACAGGGTGAGAAAATAGTAATAATGTTTCTAAAAGCACATCCCTAGTTCCGGCTCTATTTTCCAAAGAGCATTTATGCTCATCAGCTCTGTCTAGGACAACCTTGGTTTTCAGACAGTTTCTTCCCAAGACAGCTCTTTCCCCTAATTTTTATCCTCTTCTACACCAATATGTCCACAAAGCATATAGCAAGAACTCTTAATATTTGAAGGTATGTCAGAATTCCTCCAAAGTTGGGTCTGGGCCATAAAACCAGTCTGTGTTTGCATGCTAATTCACTCACTTCACTTCATTTCCACAGTTTCTTCAAAAGACATTAGTCAACACCATAAGTGTTGAATTACTAGCCACAAGCTATGTGAATAGCATAGCTGATACATAACCTGTTACCATCTCTGGGTTGTCAGCCTGGGCAGTGGAGCGGGGGGGAAAAGCTAGGTATCCGTTTTAGAGGAACCATTGCATCCAATCTCTCAGCATTTATTTCCAGAGTTCACCAGTGAAGGTAAATCGAGATGATCTCGAAATATGGTCTGTATTATAAGAGGGGAAAAGGATAGGAAATGTCCTAGAGTCTTCCCAACTGAATCAACTCAAGGTGCAAGGAGAGTTTCTGCAGCAATCCCCATATTCTATTCCTCATGGGTGTTTACTTACTGCAGATGCTAATGTCCAGGCTGCCATCAGATGGGAAAGAACAGAATGGAAGCGATTTAGATAATTCCATTAAAGAACAGAGAGGAAGGAGGGAAACAATCTATGGGCCACCAACAGCCAGTCTCAGAATTTACACATGCAAATTTATCCCAGATTAATAAATTATGTAAAACCCCAACACAAGGAATCAGGATCTTCCAATTTAAAAATTCCTATGTACGTACAAATAGTGGATATTTTCTTCGCAGCTCACATGTTTGCTTTGTGCCCTTGCCTGAAACTGGTAACAAACTCATTGGGGAAACCATCAGGATCATGAGGAGTGGCAAAAACTGTGTAGGTCAGGGGTGTCAAACTCTATTTCATTATGGACTGCATTAGGGTTGTCTTTGACCTCGGGAGGCAGGGTGGGCATGACCAGGGTGGGTGTGGCCATCTTGACGTCTGTTGTGTCGGACCAGATCTGGGCCCTGAGTTTGACACCCCTGGTGTAGGTGGAAGGCTAATGGAATTTACCCACATAATGAACCCACATATAATTTAAAAACAATTTCACAAATGTCATGGTAGACTTCATCAGTGCATATACACTAAGTTACTATATGATACCCCACAAGTGTCATAAGACAAAATGTCAAACATCTCATTCAGGCTCTTGACTCAATACAGACAATCAAAATCATTGAAGATTCTGTATTTCACATTCTTTATTCTTGAAAAAAAGAATTATACATCAATCTTGAGTGTGTAATGCATAAATTGCCAAAATCAAATATTGAGGATTTGGGTTGGAAACATTCAATACAGAATTTCTCAAGAAAGACAAGACTTTTATTTAGACATTCCCCAGGCATCCATTGTCTTCCATTCAACAACTTTTGAGGTATTGATGGTAATCAGTATAGCCAATCTCATATCCCCAAGTGCTCCTGCCTATAGTATACTGGTTGTCACCCTAGATTGAACAGGAAAATGTTTGTAGACTCTGAAAGATCTGGTTTTAGAAAGATATAATTTAAAAAGAACCCACTAGCATCAGGTGCATAGCACTTCAGTGCCATTCTCAACACCAAAGAGGGTTGATCTTCCTGGAATGAACCAGTCCCTACCCACAAACAGACGACTGCCATAAGTGAACATGTCCAACATATCACAATGGTAGATCAGCTCAATTGAAAGACATATTCTGAAAATATAGCCTAATTCTTAATCTTAAGGAGGTTGACAACTGATGTAAGAACATGTATGATCTACAAAATTGAGAAATTAATCTCAGACATCCCAAGCCAAGGAGTAAAGACAGCAAATGTATTAATTAGAACAAAAATTGTTATTTATGCCTTTACATTCCCACTAATCTCTTAATGCATTCTATATAATGCAACTTTACCCCTTTACTGGTATCCAACTTTTGTAACCAAGATGAATTCAGCCTTCCCCCAGATTCAGGAATTTATTCTCCCTTCCTATCTCAACCCGAATGTGTAATTAGAGGGTATTTGGCAAAAACTTAGATGTCAGAGGTCTGTTAAGTTGTATTTGACCAGAACAGAGGAATTCAGAATTTTAATCTTCTAATCTCCTTCAACCCATTTGGGTTGCAGAGCTTCATTGGTTGTTTCCTATACCAAAATAGCTTAGAAAACCCCAAGTATGCACACTCCATTAGAAGCATCGCTACCTTACCTATATTTTATTTATTAAATTTGTTTGCTGCTCTCTGTGAGGTGACTTACATGATATACTCACATACAGTATATCATGCCTCCAAAGATATACTGTATGTGATACATACTTTTATGGTGTCCTATTTTGTAAAATAAGCTTAGTTTACATGCCTCAAAGTCTCTTAGCATATGGGTCTAGCGCATTCATCTATAAGATCCCATCCACCAAGTCATCCTGCTCTGTAATAGAAAAACATTATATACAATATATCACACTTACATTAGTGTTAAGCCCACCCATTTACTAACCAAAAACCAAAATCGCAAGCGTTTCCAATCAGGTTTAGCCAATTGTACATATCAACTGAGCTCTCCCATAATAAATTCTGAAAGGGGAATGGTATCTCTACACACACACACACACACACACACACACACACACACGGAAGAAATACCATCTGAATCTTTTGTCCTGCCTCAGACATGAGCAATGGTGAGGGAGATTTCCCACTCTAGAATGCTATATTGAAAACTAGTTAGAAGGCCATTATTATTATTATTATTATCATTCATTAATCTTTATTTAATTAGAAACCACAATAACCTAAGATGTCAAAATATTATTGCCATTGGATATGCCTGTACCTAAATAGTAATAACTAATGCCTCAGCAAAAATTGCATGCAACTTGAGACATGCTGTGTTGCGTATTGTGGAAAATAACTACATATCAGCTGAATTACACACAATCCATTTGCCTTATAAACAGAGTAAATGTGCTGGGAATGACAATATATCTTCAATGAGTGATCTGAAGAACCTCCAGATCTACTGAGTCAATAAGTTTAATGATCAAGGTATACTAACAATGATATTTCACAATTATAAAGCATTTATTCCTGAAGATAGAAAAAATGCTTTTTTAAAAAGTTACTTTATTTAGTTTTATTTGAAAGTAGCATCTAAAAATGGTGTATTTTCAAGAGAACAATCCATAGACAAAGTTTTACTACTTTTAAGTATGATCTGTTCACTTGGCTTATATTTGTTCCTGGAAGGCAGAAATAAAACCATAGATTTGGAAGAGAGAATTTAATTTTTTGGATTTAACCTACCAGTATCGAATTAGAAGACAAATGATTTTTTCCCCCCAATTGGAGCACATTTGGTGAACTGCAACTCATGACTTCTCTATTTGTCAGGTAGTGGTGGTGACTACTAATAGAATAGAACAGAACGGAATAGAATATTGACCAAGTGTGATCAGAAATACAAGGAATTTGTCTCCAGTATACAAGCTCCCAGTATACATGCAAAAGAAGAAAGTAATAATGATAATAACAAAGGATAATCATGATACCAATAGAGAAGGTAATGCAACATATCAGAAGGATAAATGTAATATTGTGTCATACTACATGGGTAATAGACGTAAGACAGAACTGTGGAAAGCAATATACAGGTCCTCAAAAGGAGGCAGGCTTGGTTGCTATGCCAAACCAGACAGTTATAGAGGTACAAATGGCACATTCAGTAATTCCTCTGTAGAACCGTATCACCAACTCCTTGGATGGTCTGAACTTCCTGAGTTGACACAAGAAGAAAATCCTTTCTTTTTTTTTTGCATTTTTAATGAAGGTTTTAATGTTAATGTCTATTTCAAATCCTGGGAAATTATAGAACCCCAAAACGTGAAGGACTTTACTGTTGATACTGTGTTGTCTGATATATTAAGAGGTGATATAGGAGTGCTCCTCCTAAAATCCACTTGTCTCTAGTTTTAAGCATTTTAAGCTCCAGATTATTGTAGCTGCAACATAGTCATTTGTTCAACCTCCCATTAAATAGACTCTTCATCTCAAATGAGACTAATGACTGTTGTATCATCTTCAAACATATTTTAACAGGCTATTTAGAAGTGCAGTTGTTGGTACATAAGGAAAAAAATAATAAATGGAGAGATCATATAGCCCTGGGCTGGGGGTGGTATGCTAATAGTTTGGGTATTTGATGTGATTTCCCCAACCTTCACCTATTGCTTTTTATCTGTCAAAAAGCTTATAATCTACCTACAAGTATGGACAGGCACAATTAGCTGAATCAGTTTGGAATGAAGAATTACTGGAATAATGGGGTTGAAATCTGCAAAAAAAATCCATGCATAAGTCCCTGGAGATTGTCCAAGGATTGGGTACTTGAAGTTTATATACAAAATATATTTAGAATCCTAACATAATATAATGCAATTCAGTGAATTCCTTTAGGAAACCAGTGTCAAAGCACTCACATAAGCAATTTTTAATTAAATAAAAGTTTTATTGAACATTTCACTCTAGAACTATCTGTTTTTAAATTTTAAGATTGCATTTATACAACTATTGATATTTTGCTTAGTGTGAAAATGCTACTTTGAATATATGGAGCATAATCTCTTTAACAAATATATTAGACATACACGTTGAAATTTTGTCATTTAGTCCCCTAACTATAGGCTATAGAGAAATATGTATATTAAAAAAAATATGAAATCTGTGTATTCGCTGCTGCACAAAACTGTTGCAGATTTAATGCTAATTTACTACAACCAAAATATGCACATGGAACTATTAGTTTCTTTTTATTTTATAATATTATAACCTTGATCAAGTTCATAGTATAGGATCAAGGTTTTTTTGTTGCAAAAAAAAATCTAGTTCCACCATGATAAAAAAACGCTTTCAAAGAAGAGATTTGGAGGAACAGATTGAGTAATTTGTTCTTCAATTTGTCTTCCAGAATTAATTTAGATTTGGGTGCACAGTTAATGGACAAGGAATTCCTGTGCTCCGAATTGGAGTTCTAAAATCAATGGTATACTGTATTATACATATTAACTCTTTATGGAAATTAATACTAGATCTGTGGCACATCAAATGGTTTCCATAACAAATCCATCTTACTACAGCATAAAAGGAACGGATTTAAAAATAGTCAGTGAATGAAGATGGAAAATCAACACACCTTAATTAAAAGGTAATAACTTTACATGTTCCAAATAATAGCCCTGGAGTAATTTTAGATTTTCCCCCCACTTTACAAAGCATAGACCTTGATTTACTGTATTGTACAATTGCTAGCAAGATTTGTCAGCAACAATAAATTTACTAATCAGTACCTACCTGAAACAAGTGTGTTTTCTTCATATCCTGTACAACAAAACAGAGACTTTAGGAGTATAGTATATGAAGAAAGCTTTGAGTTGGTAAATTGTAATGTAGGTTAAAGCTTTCATCAATATCTGGGAATTGTTTAAAATATTAAGGCTGTCGAGTTTCTGAATGTTCAAGTTATAATGGGATTTCCTTTGCATAGGAAAGGCAAGAGTTTAAACATTACAGAAGTTGTACATCACAAACTGGATCACTGTTCAAAGGGATAGGCGTGCTTTGTGCTATTGATTTAGCACTTCATATGTGTTTGCATTAATACATTATGTTTATCTGGTATAAAAATAGACACTCTTGATTACTTTATAATTATGCTGCTGCTTTCCTACTGTGCAGGATTTAGAAATCATTACAATCCCACCACCACCCAGCTGGTAACAGATGGCAGTAAGATACAGTCATGTTTAAAAAGGCTTAGACAAATAACAGCAATATCCAAATAAAAATAGATTTTTTTAAAAAAAGATTGCAGTTAATACTAAGTGAAGTCATGGTTTAAGCCATATGAATCCAAAAATGTTTCTTATGAAAAGACTTAAAAGCTAATGGTTTACAGGCACTTCTTTTTTGGTAGATTATTTAATAGCAAGATTCTGTGCGTATTTACTCAAAAGTCAGGACTGTTTAGATCACTAGTGATTATTTGTAGATAAGCAAATGAATGAGTGCAATCTAAACTATTTGAGGATCATTCAATCATCCATTTCAATATTTGGCTTTTTAAATTAAAATGCTAACAAAAGCTGGCAACCAATGTCCCATAATCTGTATTTTATAAATGTAAAAACAACTCATCAAATATTTGAAGAAGTGCCTGTCCTGGTGGTTAGAATATATAATAATTTGATATTTATGGAAGATTTGTTACATAGTCTCTTGTATGACCTTAGCTTGACTCTTTGGATTTCTCTATCAAGAATCATCAATAATTTTCCAATAAAAGCAGAGCAAAAAGTTGGCACTTCTCCCACTGAAACTATCCAATGTCAAAAATCAAAGAAAGCTGCACTGATAACATTGCAACACAAAGGAGTGCACAGACAAATCTGCCTTTTGGTTGAGGGACGGATGAAGAGCAAAAACTAAAGAGATTTCCTTTACAACCTAACACTTTCTGACATTGTCACACTGAGTTAACCATTAATGAGCACTTGAAAAGGAAAGCTCTGTGCTGTTTGGGCATTCTTATAAAGAAATTGGCAAAAGTAGATGGCCCTGCAGCATTGTCCACAATTCCAGGTAATTGACTGATACACCATCTGTTCAGTGAGCATGGCTGTTCACCTTCATCACAGATGCTGCAACCATTAGTTGTGGAAAGGACCCAACCAAAAACCATGGTGTTTTTTTTTCTGTTGGCTTTGCAAATAATTTGACTAGAGGATGAGCATTTCCCACACAGAAATATTCTTGACTGAAGCTTGCTTTCCCTTGCAGCGAAATCAGTCTGTGATTGCCCCATCCCTCTTGCAAGGGAGAATTATTGCCTTTGTAAAGGATCAAGTTACCCATATGTCCATTCGCTTAAAAACACTTTTATCAGATTTCATCACTACAACAAATAAATGTAAGTCTGAGAACATCTTCCTCCTAACAGAAAATGTGGACTTGCGCAAATAATATCATTAGAAACTGATAATTATGCCAGTAGTTATTTTGTTTGCAACATATTAGATAATCAGTTGATAATATACATGATTCTTTGTAGTTTATGTAAGTGAGGTGACATGGTTGCCACTTTCTTTTTGCAAAAAATACAGAAAAAATCCCAGTGGTTTATTGCACTACAGATTCCTGTTGCTAAAATCCATATCAGATGATGTCAGCCTTCAGTTCTTTGGTGCAGAGTCAACTTGTGGGGTATTACTATTAATGTTCTTATTGAGCCTGTTTTCTCACTTTTCTGCTCCCCATCTTCTTGCAGGCCAGCAGCACACCATCAAGAAGGTCCTAGTCTATTTTAGAACTAAATGGTAGCCTTCTGCATTCTGTACTGTAGTAACAGATAAGATAAGACAAGACAAAACCAAGTCACTTTTTAAGTAGTAGTTCCTAAAAATGGAATTTTCATCCTTTCTTAAGATGGGCCAGTACTGGGTAAGCAAAGGGTCTGTTTTTATAGCTTATTAGGAAAAAAATCAAGGTGATTGATCCAAAGGGAAATTTTGTGTAGTCTTCAAAAACCTCTAAAGGAATATTTATGCTGCAATATTAAATGAATTTGCTTTGCCTTGTACACTTAATTGGATAGTATAATATTTTTCAGGATTCTGCTGCCTACTATTTTATGTGCAATATTCTGCTGCTGACTTAAATAAATGCCTTATTTTATGTAGTGACATATTGCAAAGCAGTAAGGATAGAAAATTCAGCAATAAATCCTAGGAATCCCAAGCAGATATGAGTCTGGTCACTGCTTGAATCCTGTTCCATATTGTGGGAGAGGGAAGTAGTGAAAATTATAGAGCCCCAAGAATGTGAAGTGCCAGGTGACACTGATAGAAAAAAATAATACTACCGCCTGGTTTCTGGTTCCTCTGGTTGGATGTATTGAGGGAAATACAGATAGTCCTCAATGTATGATCACAATTGAGCCCAAAATTTCTGTTGCTAAGGGAGGTTTGCCCCGTTTTATGATCTTTCTTGACACACATATTAAACGAATCACTGTGGTTAGGTTAGCAACATGACTTTTTAGTGAATCTAGCTTCCCCTTGATTCTGCTTGTCAGAAGGTCACCAAAGGGGATCACATGACCCTGGGACACTGCAACGGTCATAAATATGAGAGCTGCCAAGTGTTTAAATTTTGATCACATGACCATGGGAATGCTGCAACGGTCACAAGTGTGAAAAAGGATCACAAGTCACTTTTTTCAGTGCTGCTGTAATTTCGAATGATCACTAAATGAACTGTTGTAAGTTGAGAGCTTCCTATAATAATTTTCACTAATTCCTCCTCCATATCTCCGCATGAACCTCCTAAAACAGAGTTCAAGGGAGTGGGGTCTGTGAACTGAAGGAATCTCTTCTACACTATCTCGGTCTTCTTGTAAACAAAAAACAAACTCCTGGAGTAGAAATTTGAGTCCACTGTGTCATGGACATTTTCAGAACTGAATAATGGGGGTTTTGTCTACATACACTCAGGCTTCAATACATCTTATCAGTCCTGAAGAAGTCAGAACTCTGCTCTTTTCACAGGCAGATCTACCTACCTTTTGTTACAGCTGCTATGAAGCAGGATTCATCTGGAAGATTTCTGACCATCTGTGATAATCAGGAAAGAACAATGCAAGGTTAGTTCTTGGCTAGACTCCTAAATGTCTGCTTTAAAAAAAAACTAACTCTGGGTTGCCAGAGAGGGAGAGCTCAGCAACAGATGGCAATATGGTAAAGTGAGATTGTCAAGACATAAAAGCCAGTGGCAGTGTTGATATGGGAGGGGCGTGTGTGTGTGTATATGTGTACAGAGAAAGATGGATTGTAAAAGACTCTTGGGGGGGGGGGACTTAATAGAAATGTAATTTAGTTTGTCTGAAACTCTGTTAATATAAGAATCCCCCAAATGGATTGTGTACACTAACGTAGACTCATAAGGCTAGAATATTAGAGGTTCCTAGACCAACCCCTTGCTCAAAACAGAAATCCTTCTATCATTCCAGAAAAAATGGTTGTTCAATCTTTTCTTGAAACCTCCAGTGATGGAGCACTCACAACTCTGATTAATCATTCTCATTGTCAGGAAATTCCTCATTTCCAGGTTAGATCTTTCTCTGACAAGCTTCCACCTGTTGCTTCTTGTCCTGCCTCAGATGCTATTGAGCATAAATTATCCACCTCTTTCCTGTGACAGCTCTTCAAGTATTGGAAAACTGCTATCAGGTCTCCAATAAGCCCTTTCTTTGTTAGGCTAATAGCAATAGCACTTAGACTTATATGCCGCATCACAGTGCTTTACAGCCATCTAAGCAGTTTACAGAGTCAGCATATTGGTCCCAACAGTCTGGGTCCTCGTTTTACTGACCTTGGAAGAATGGAAGGCTGAGTCAACCTTGAGCTTGGTGAGATTTGATCTGCCAAATTGCTGGCAGCCAGTGGTCAGCAGAATAACCTGCAGTACTGTATTCTAAGCACTGCCCACCACTTCTCTAATACACTAACTAATATACCTAGTTTCCTTAGGCATTCACCATATGATTTAGGTTCAGACCCCTTATCATCTTTGTTGCTCTTCACCGCACTCTTTCTAGTGCTTCAGCATCTTTGTTGTATCATGATGACTAGAACTGAATGCATTGTTCCAAGTGTGGCCTCACTGGGTTCTTGATGCTATCTCTCTCGATGCTGTGTTGGCTTTTTCCTGGGTTCTTCATGCTATCCCTCTCTTGATGCATTGGCTTTTTGGCAGCTGCAGCACACTCCTGACTTATACTTAAGTGTTGATCCACCAAAACACTTAAATCCCTTTCACAGTTACTAATTATTGAGCAGGTTCTGCCTACCTGTGCACCTTGTTTTTCCTGCCTAAGCACAGGGCCTAATTTTTTTTACCACTGAACTGCATCTTGTTGGATAGAGCCCAATGCTCAAGTCTGTCAAGATCCTTGAACCTATTTTCCAAAGTAAGTAACTTGTCCCATAAATTTTCTTTACAAATAAAAATAACAATTAGTTGCAATCTAAGTGCTTTCTTTGAGAATGCATTCTCAAAGTAATGGGAGTAAAGTGGAAAGCGATAATATTCTTTGTCAATGGCAGGGTCCCCAATTATAATGAAGGCGCACTCTGCCTCTGTCTGCTCTCAAACAGCCACCTCCATGGCTTTCAATTTAGAGAGAATCTCATCAACCCATCCACCCCCGAAACTGGGATTTCCGGAATTCAGGAAAAAGAAGGAGTAGCAAAGTGATTGCTTCACTAAATCATAATATGGCTTCCATGTTACATGAAGTTGCTTCTTGTGACTTAGCATGTTGTGTGACCCCCTGCCAATTGTAATTAAGTAAAAAATAATCCATTATGGTTGCAAATTAGAAAATCTCCAACTCAAATCTCATTTCTGTTAAGAATTGATGAAGTGGCCCTAGGCAAAGAAATCCTTTTTTTCAGCTCCAGAAATCTGCAGCAAAGCAAGGATATTTTACTGGTTTGCCTTTCTGGATGGTTGGCATTCTTTTATCTGAAAATAATTATAAAAATCACTGAATAGCTGTTTTGGTTTATAAGGGTTTTTTTCCCAAAAAAATAAAATTGAGGGCTTTTTTTATGACTCATTACTCATGCTCATGGATTTTGAGCTACCCGGAACTCTTCTATCTACATCTGTATGCAAGATGATAAAACTTCAGTATATAGGTTTTAACTATTTTAAGATGCAGACCAGGTTGAATTAATGCAAGGAGGTATATGTGTTGTATTTGCAATTCCCAGAATTTCAAGCCAACATGAAGCCAAATTGGAGAAGGCAGGATTAGACCAATAACCTCTTTCAGAAATTCATTATCTACTGAAGACAATCTGAAAAGGCTGTTTGGCTGAGAAAGATTACAATTCACTCTCCCCCTCCCCTTCTGTCCCCAGCTAATTCACTTGCTTAAGCGATTTGGAGCAAATTTTAGGTTGGATTGTGTGTTAATTCTACAGGAATGTCATTCAACCTGTTTTTTTCTAAATATGTTGACTATACATTATGGGTTTTTTATTCCAGAGCATCAGGGGCCATGCCATGTGGATATTGCCCTAAATTTTCACAATCTGAACAGTGGTGGGTTGCTAACCAGTTTACTACTGGTTCACTCATGCTCATGCTAGAGTCGAGGTGGCACAGTGGTTAAATGCAGCACCGCAGGCTACTTCAGCTGACTGCAGTTCTGCAGTTCGGCTGTTCAAATCTCACCGGCTCAGGATTGACTCAGCCTTCCATCCTTCCGAGGTGGGTA